GAAGGAGAGATGTAGAAAAGTGACAATAAAAATATGAAAAACTGTATTGCAATAAAGTACTGCTGCAATGCAAATAATGAATTTATAGCTTTAACTTTCTCAAATATAGGTCTTTCACATGGTCAATAGTCCTATACAAGTACAGTATTAAGCAAATAAAGATGGGGAAATATGAAAGTTAATATATTCAATATCAAGTTACAAAGGTTGCTATTGCTAAAGCAAATGGGAATAACACTGTTTAATGCTATTGAACTTAAAGCTCCATTCAACATTAAGATACTTCCCATGATTACCATTCAAGTACTTATGGCTTTCCACAATTTTTTTTATCATAATTGAATAAATAAAAAAAAAGTTAATAGAGTAAAATATTATCTGTTAATACTGGAAGAGGAGCTTCAAAAGAGAAAACTATTAACTTACCAAGATACCAATATACACCCTCGCACATGGAATCTAAATTCCGATTTAGGTGGTAGTTAACACTGTAAACTAACATTGTCATATCATTGAAAGATATGGAACTTATTGGAAACAGGAAATACAATATCAACAAATATATATACAGTATGTAGACCTATACAATGTTATGTAGATATGATCTGTTTCCTATATAAATAGCTTTTCACACACTTCTTGATGGTATACATGAGGTTTAAAGAAGACATATTTTTAAACCCTGCAGTCAATAAATTTAAAAAACTAATTCATTATGATCACAGCAAGGTTACTGTTTTGTTAATATATAACCATAATTTGGTACAATAGTAAGCCTCATCAATTTCAATTAAAGTTGACAAAGAAAATAGAACAGCAAGTTCTTTAGGAATGCTTAAAGATATTTCATAGAGAATACAAAATAAATCTAACATGCCTCTAGCTTAGATCCTCATCACATTTAAGCAAAGTGTATTTAAGTACCTGATGAGAACTGTCCAGCAGTGATACCTGGGTCCTCAGATGTGCAATATGTAATTGCTCATTATCTAGTTTGCTTTTAAAGTAAACTTGTATTTACTGCAGGGCACGAGAGATTTATGACAAATTATCCAGACCTTATCCTGTGCTGTCAACATGGAACTACTCTCTCAATAACCAAGCAACACTTAGAAGAGAGCAGACTTATGCATGGTAACATTTGGAAATACTATACATACAGCATGAAAGTTTGTATACAATAACCATTTTAACATTGTATCAACAATTAACTATCCTTTGGTTATCCATAAATTATGAGGATGTCTTTCAATTAACATACTGTATATATAAAATACAGCAACAGTGATAAAATATCTACCTGAGTTCCATTAAGTAAAAAAGTAATATTTAGATCCTAAATTTCTTAGATAAAACTTACCAGCTTTCAAAACAGAAAGCATACAACTTCAAAATTCATATAGAATATGTGTGTAGTCTCTCTCATTCCAGTTCTATTAAAAGGATTGGGCAGAGTTCACGAGTCAAAATTCTAAAGATTACAAAATTACACCTACATAAATATTTGTCCTCCAACTTACTAGGCAGCATCTAACCGGACATTATTACAGTACAACTAGGACTGACTTTACTTCAAACATGAGCTAATCTTTAGAACCTTTTGAATAATTAAATAAATGCTGTAATTTTTTTCATATTTTTAATTACAATCTAAATTGACGTCTAAAGAGTAAACTCGTTTTTATATTAAAATCAAATAATACGCAATGTAAGATGACCATATCCAAACACAACAGCACAAAACACAATCCGGAAACTACTCATTCAACAAAGATGAAAGCAAGCACAAGAAAACAAAATTAAACTTGAATAAGGGTGTGAATGATACAAATTACCTAAGGATTCAACTTTGTTTCATTAAAATGCATAAAAACTAAAAAATAATGCTTTTCACATGTTGAAAACGACTTACAAAGTGCTAGCCCACTCAATCACCAGCACTATATCTAAAACTTTAAATTCAAGACTTCCATGCACTCTACTGGAATTTTCAAACATGGTTTTTAAGTATGAATGAGGTGCAGACACAAAGTACACCGAGAACACTAACAAGAAAAAAGCAGCTACACCATCCATGACCCTCCGAGATCGTCTTCGCCCGAACCCTTCATCAGTGCTGCCAGTGTTCAAAACACAAGCACAGACCAGCTTTATTTAACCCCAGGTCTGCTAGGTCATATCTCCATATTACAAATTTACACTCAATAATTTTAAGGAAATGTGATTGCTGTTAGGTTAAGATCTGACAAGGAAAAAAAAATGCATTACAGTCTTTCAAAACCCCAATAAAAAGTATTATTAGTTCCAACTTTTACTGCATTCAGAAGAATATATCCTTTTTAAAAAGTCCATTCTCTCTTCTAAAGATAAATAATTTTTTGTATAATTCCCCTAAAATATAAAAGTACTAATATACATTGTTTACTTAAAAAGAAATAATATATTTAAATATTTCCATAGGATTACAGCATTTCCCTTAAATAAATTTGTATAACCCATTACTTGACAAGGGTTACTATATAACGAGTATCATCCACATTTACAAGTTTTCCCCTTCTTTCATTCCCTTAATATAGAGCTTTCCCATTATGAACTCTTCTTCTCTCCATTAGTGTGGTGAACAAGACTCTGTGTGTCTGTTGGTCGGGTCAAGTTCTTTCCTGGGATAAACTCGGCAGCGTACGGGTTCAAGGTACTCTGAAAAATTACATTCATCACATTACCACCTCCACAACTATCATTACCCTATTATCCATTAACATTGAGGGTACGAATTCACCTAGAATGGATGAATAAAGGGATGAATTATATCATATGGATACTTCAAACCCCCAACCCCCCACCATAATGGTCCACTTTAAGCCGAGGGTTTGAACCCCCAGGGTTTAATTGAAAGTCATTCGATCATTGAAAGCAAAGGCAGATTTCTATGATTGGAATGTGCAAGGAATAAATCAAGAGCATAAGTGGTAAATGTTTGTAAAGAAGTTCGTTTGATGTGCTCGGTTTATCTGAAACAATGATAAAAAGAAATAAAGATGGAGGCCAAAACCATCAGTCGTTTTAAAGCATTACATGAAAGGGTAATGGGAAGTTCGGACACCATAAGCATAGCACTCATCCTGTAACTACACTTGAGTAATTACACTGACTGGTGGAGTGTCACTTGCAGAGTATATCTTGAGATAATTTCGGGCTTAGCGTCCCCACGGCTCGGTGGGGACGAAACTTCACAGGGAGCAGCAGGGCATATATTAGACACCCAGCGCCTCTGGAGACACAGAACTTCACGAAGAGGCCAGGCCTCCTTTTTGTTACATAGCCCCAAGAAGCAGCCTGTAACAGCTGTCTAACTCCCAGGTATCTATTTACTGCTAGGTGAACAGGAGCATCAGGGTGAACATAACTCTGCCCATTTGTTTCCACCTCCACCGGGGATCGAAACCGGAACCTCAGGACTACGAATCCCGTGTGCTGTCCACTCAGCTGTCAAGCCCTCAGGGTACCAAAGGGTTCAGTTCTTGCAAAAGTAATGTTCATCGTCTACATAAACAACTTACCAGAAGGCATACAAATTATATGAATATGTTAGTAAGTAGTGACGTACATAGATGGTTTTTTAATTGAATGCAATTATCCTAATTGGTAACCGAATTGGGCTACAAGTAGCCCAATCTGGCATCCCTGGGTCACGTTATGGAACATGGAATCAGAAAAAATAAGACCACACACAACTTACAAATTATGTGGAAAGGAATTACAGAATTCTAATACAGAACGAGACTTGGAGGTGGTTTTGGACAGTAAGCTGTCACCAGAGGAACACACAAAGAACATTGCATGTTCCTTTTCACCATCTACATTAATTATATGAATGGTGAAATACTGAAGAAACTGTTCATAACCTTTGCAAGACCAAAATTGGAATATGCAGCAGTTGTATGGTGCCCAAATCTCAAGAAGCACATAAGGAAACTGGGAAAGGCACAACAGAATGCTGCAAAATGGCTTCCGGAACTGAGAAACATCTCTATGAGGAGAGACTAGAGGTGTTAAACATGCCAAAACTAGAAGACAGAAGAAAAAGAGGTGATATGATCACCACTTACAAAATACTAACAGGAATCAACCAAATTGACAGGAATTCCTGAAACCAGCAACTTCACGAACAAAAGGACACGATTCAAGCTAAGGAAACAAAGGTGCCCAAAAAAATTAGAAAGTTTACTTTTGCAAGCAGAGTGGTAAACGGTTGGAACAAGCTAAGTGAGATGGTGGTGGAGGCCAAAACCGACAGTAGTTTCAAAGTGTTACACTGTACAACCAAGAGTACTGGGAAGATGGGACCCCAGAAGTGTAACTCTTATCTAGTAGCTATACTTAGGTAATTACACACACACACACACACACAATCTATCACTATCTTTCGCAAACAAAGTGGTAGACGGTTGGAACAAGTTAGGTGAGAAGGTGGTGGAGGCCAAAACGGTCGGTAATTTCAAAGCGTTATATGACAGTGCTGGGAAGACGGGACACCACGAGCGTAGCTCTCTTCCTGTAACCATACTTGGGTAAATATATTAGAAAGACTTTTTCAGTGTCAGCAGTTAACAAATAGAATGTGCTAAGAAGTGTTGTGGTGTAGGCAGACACCATACAGTTTCAAATGTAAATATTTGAGGGTCAAATAGGCTCGGCAACCTGTATATCAGTCCACCAATGATCGAGAGACAGGAGCAAACAGTCAAAACTCCACCCCCTGCAAGCACAACTAAGCAAGTACAACTGATGACCGATAGCCAATAGGTGTTCCTTAAATACTTCCACAATCTTGGAAAATTATCCACCTTTTTTAATTCCAATGCTAATGCATTTGTGATTAGCAAGTACAGTACATGACCCATAAATTATCAACAAAACTAACCTTAGCAGCTACGTTTTCACTCACTCCCATCTTCTGCAGGCTTGAAGTTAAATTTGACGTGGCATCATTTCTCATTCTGGAAACAAAATAAAATCAAAATATAACATATTAGACTGTAAAATGTATGAACAGTCAAAGATTATGTTATAACTGAAGATGGGAGAAAATTATTAGAACCACATACAAAGTGATGAATAGATTAAAATAAGCAGTTTTGTTATGATCAAAATAATGATAGCTGCTTTGTAGGAGTAATGCCTAAAATAACTGAATAAGTGAGGTTGTGAGCTTGAGCATGTGGGGATAATGGGAAAATTGGACAGAACCAAGAAAAGTATGTTTGATGATTTAAGGAAAACAGAACATGCACAAGAGAAATAAGGGGGTCAGGTAAGGTAAGGTAATTATCAAAAGAAGGCACCAAACTGGGAAGGCTATGTAGCACCATCAAAGTGCGAAATAATCAGAGAGCGCTAAATATCACCAAGAATGCCAATACGAGAACAAAAACGCATAAGGCGAACGATATCAAAAGTATCCGATTCACCAAGAATTCTATCGAGGGGCAAGTGACTGCGAGAGACGGTAGGAAAGCAAGTCACACGCACGTCCTGGAAGTCAGGACATTTAACAAGGATATGCTCAACTGTAAGAGGGACAACGCAATTTGGACAATAAGGAGCAGGGCGGCGCTCCATTAAGTGACCGTGAGTTAAGCGAGTATGGCCAATCCACACCCTTGCTAGAGCAGTTTGCCACTGCCAGTTACGGTGGCAGGAGGAAGGCCACGAGGATAGATACTACGCTTGAGAGTACGCAGTTTGTTACCAACTACAGAAGACCAACAACCCTGATATCGGGCAAGGATGGAGGAATGAATAACAGGATAAAAGTAGGAATAAGGAATACTGTACTTTTACGGGAAATGGGACAAGAACGGATAGCTTCCCTAGCGGCAGCATCCGCACGCTCATTTAAAGAAATGCCCATATGGCTGGGAACCCAGCAAAACTCTACCGAATTCAATTTACTAGAAATAAGAAACAGCCAATGTTGAATCTTGATGACCACCGGATGGACAGGGTTAAAGGACCCTAGAGCCATGAGGACACTACAAGAGTCAACTACAACCACACAGGAGGATCGACAATGAGAAAGCAAGAGACGGAGAGCATAGAGAATAGCATAAAGTTTGGCTGTGAAGACGCTTGCCTCCGAAGGGAGGCGACACATGTAAGTGCAGTCAGGAAAAACAACAGAGGAGCCCACACCGTTCGCAGACTTAGATCCATCGGTGAAGATGGAAACAGAGTGGGAGTGCGAAGAAAAGTGGTCAAGGAAAAGGCGTTTCAGAACCGTAGGAGGGGTAAAAGCTTTAGTGATGCCGGTCAAGGATGTACAAAACTTTGGAAGAGGGACTCTCCACGGGGACAAGGAAGGAACAATACGAGGAGAAACATTAGAAATACGAACGGAAAGGGAATCCTGTAAGCGAGATAGACGGACAGAAAGAGGGAGGAGATGAAAAGGAACAGGAACCACAGGAGGGGTAAAAGTTAAAGCACAACAGAGGCGAGAGGAAGGATGCTGTAAGGACCGCGCAAGATAGCGAAGACAGTAGCGAGAAATAAGAGGGTAATAAGTAATTTTTTAAAATACTTTAAATACTATACTTTCCGACCTTGCTATCGGACCTCAATCATTCGTTTATTCCATTTATTCGTTTGTGATCCGGCCCCCCCAAATCCTATGTAGTTCCGCGGCCACCCAGAGTTTTGGGCGCCGCCGCTGTTTTTTGTTTTTGTTTACCCGCGGTGGACAAAACAATCCCTCTCTCACGCCTTTATATCTGTTCATATTTTTTGCATCCTGTTACTATTGCATCTAGAAATGCAGTAAATGTGTTGTTTAGGGCTTCAACAAGCAGTGAAGTAAGAGAAAACATTGTTGTGATCTATTATCAGAGCATATAGCTTATAAAGGAAGACAAATATGGTATGTCTCCTGTGTGGTGAATAGAGGTGCAGAGGAATGTGTCCAAATTTGAGATTGTGATTCTCTCTCTCTCCTGAGCAAATTATGATGCCAATGAAACAAGTTTGTACTGGCATATATTAACCTAACCAAACCCAACCAAACATAACCTAACTAAATCTAACCAAATTTAACTAAAACTAACTAAAGTAAACCTGACCAAACCTAACCAAACCAAACTAAATAAAAGCTAACCAAACCAAAGCAAACCAGACCTAACCAAATCAATCTAACACCAAAGTTAACTAAACCAAAGGTGACTAAACCAAAACCTAACCAAACCTTACCTAACCTAACTAAACCAAAGGTAACTAAACCAAAGCTAACCAAACAAAAACCCAACTCTCCCCTCAACATCTATGCTTCAACCCTCAGTTAACACCACCACTCATACAAGTATGTGTGAGTATGGTGGTGTTAATTCTCACAGGTTTCTTTAAGGAATTTGACTGGAAAGAATTGCTGTTAGGAACAGCGAGTCTTTGAAACCTCAAAACCTTTTGAAACCTCAAAACCTTTTGAAACCTCAAAACCTTTTGAAACCTTTGAAACCTCACACAGGTTTCTTTAACCCTTAACCGCCAGCCCGTCCTCCAAACAAAGACCCTAAAGTGATTCCATGCACCCGCCATACCCCGTTTATGAATGAAAAATGGTTTACACACGATGATGTTCGAACACATCATAACACTTCGGGAACAAGTGGTTCACTGGCGAATTTTGTATGAACTTCAACGCTGTAAATGCTTCACCCACACACTATAAATTATTGCCAACAGAACCTTAACACCTAATCTAGCCTATGCATATATATATGCAAAATATGTTAATATATTATAATAATTTATATTTGAGGAACTTCCCATTTTGAATGAATACACTTAAAAATTTCTGAATGCGTTTGTGGGGTCGACCGCTGGTTGTAAAGAACTTAAGTCAAGTAAGGGTTGTAAACTGCTCGTATTACAGTGCATATTAGGGGCCTGGAAGCCAAAAATATTAGAATTATGAAAAAATAACCTTTATCTGATTTTGTTGTAACCTTTACATCCTGCAGTGCATATATTTCCCTAACTGTGTGAAGATAGAATGAAATTGGTCAACAAATAAATTATTCACAACTTGCAAAACTTGGGACTTCATTTTCTTTGGCTGATTTTTTCTGATTTCAAACTATTATCTTTGTCTCTTTAGGTTGTTTTGATGATTAGGGACCATATTAGGGCTTTTTCACTTATACAAAGTATACCCTAAATATATCCCCTATATCATTATTATAATTATCCCTGTATTTTGGGGATATTTTTTCTTGACTTCATTTCAACACACATTAACCTACAACTTTCACATAATCGAGGACGAATGCCAAACAATGTTTATTAAAACATACAATTAAATTAACAAATTAAAACTACAGTACCTTTATTCATTGTTGATAACTTCAACTTCAATTATCTCTGAAACTAGAATTTTAACTGAGTGGCTTCTAAATTCCCCTTTTTGACCGATTTTCACTATATTTACATTGTGTGCTCAGCTGCCTGTTCTACAATCCCTTCAGAATGGATTTTTCATAACTATACATTTGGAGTTGTAATTTTTTTTTGGTCTAAATTTGCCGCATATTTCAAATGCCTTATTGACAATTCTTTTTACAGTAAACGATACTGGAAACCTATATTCTAATTTGATGAACATGAAGATCATATACTATTCTGAGAGAATAATAACATTAAATGAAGAATTGGTGATAGCTCATAATTTTTATTCTGAATTGAAAAACTGAAGTTTTCAATATTCAATTTTAAAATTAGTTTTGTTTCTCTTGTTTTTCAAGTTGTGTTGTAATCATTTAGACAAAGTTGGAGCATTTGCTTAGATGATTATGGATTTTTTTTTTTTTAAAAGTGTTTGTGCAAGTGAAGGCACAAATATTCATAACAAAACAGATGCAAAACTAGGAAACAGGATTGGTTCAACAGAAATTGCGTGAGGGCCAGAGACCAAAAAGACACAAATATGGAATCAATATAGGAAGAGGACAAACCCCCAAACATACCAGCAATAGAAAGATGCGAGATACAACTACACGGCAGAAAAGGAGAGAGGCAGAAAGAAATTTTGAAAAATGGATAACGGACAAATGTAAAACAGAACCAGCTCTATTCTATAAATTTTTAAAGAACAAACTGCAGGTAAAGGATAATATTCAGAGGTTGAAAATGAAAACTAGATTCACGGAAAATGAAAAGGAAATGTGTGAAACATTAAATGAAAAGTTCCAAAGTGTGTTTGGACAAAATGAAATCTTCAGGGAACCACACACATTAAGAATTCCAGAGAACAACAGAGCACATACAGGTGTCTAGAGATGAAGTGGAAAAAACCCAGCTTTGAATGTAATGTAATGCCATTTTCCGGGTAAGACCCAGAGGCTCCCCGGAGCTTACTGGGCTGATATGCTAATGTCAGACTTTGGCATCAGTCATGTGTATGGAGTTCTGTGGGCCTACCAGGGACCACGAGCCAGAACCTGGCCCCCTCAGAGAGGCATGGGGAGCAATGGCCTATAGAAACCCCCTGTGTGGTTGGAAGCATTCTATGTCTGCCATCGACCGGGTCAGGTACCCAGAAAAGTAAGCATCCCAAAACAAACCTCTATTCTGGTGAAAATATTGCTACCAAAAGCCGAACAACTGGATAGAACTCCCCTAAAAGAAATGAGCAAACAAGCATGACGTCACATGTCGCCGCGCCGCTGTCTGCGCAGCTTTCCCTTGACTGGGACAGGGAAGGTTATCTTGAGATGATTTCGGGGCTTTCAGTGCCCCCGCAGCCCGGTCCTCGACCAGGCCTCCACCCCCAGGAAGCAGCCCGTGACAACTGACTAACACCCAGGTACCTATTTTACTGCTAGGTAACAGGGGCATAGGGTGAAAGAAACTCTGCCCATTATTTCTCGCCGGCGCCTGGGATTGAACCCGGGACTACAGGATCACAAGTCCAGTGTGCTGTCCGCTCGGACGACCGGCTCCCAGAAGG